TGCAGATCCCTATTACAAGAGCGGTTCAGTGGCGTCTGTCATGATCCTATGGTAGCAGCACAGTTCCATGAGAAGCTCATTTACCGACCTACACGTCGGGCATTCAATCATCATTATAAATCGCTTTTTCTACCACGCTCCAATGCCTGGAAGACTCTAACATGCGGCGTGATAATAATCAGGTATGTATATCAATCCACAGGATTCTGGACGTATAGTTATGCACTGCATGGTGCAAGGGGATACCAACCATTATGTTGTCTAACGAAACCGCAGCTAGGCCGATGAGAGGCGGGAGATGCCACATAACACGAAGTAGGGTAGAAGGCGGAAAGGTGGACCACATGAGTGTCTATGCATGCATTGTGGCCTAAATGTTGTTCAGTTTTCTAGATAAACATTAACGAAACTATGCGGTGATGGAGTTTGTTACTCACGGAGTGAGAACGCGTTCGTCCCAGAAGACTGACCATTCAGTGGAGCTAAGCAGCATTTGGGGGGTGTATTACCGAATACGGTAGTATCCAAATCCTACCGGCAATTTCCGGTTTTCAGAAACACTCTGGACAAGCGGAAAGACAAATTTCCACTTTCAAAAACTCTTCAGACCCTTGACCGTATCTGTAGAAACTGTCGAGCACGTGAGACAGGGGATGTTGTTGAAATAAAACACACAACTCTGAGTCTCAACGAAGCCAACCGAAGGATCGCGGTAGGCCAGTCGCTTGTCACACGGACTTTAACGCGTTAAACTTTACCTGATCTCCATATAAGCAACGAAAGTTAATCACCCTTGTGCTGGATTTCACTAGTCCGCTGTGCCGATTACACATCGACTGGGATTAAACAAAAAAGAACAGCGAGGCAATTGTTCAAGACGACCTGTATCGCAACAGCTGTAGAAAACAGAGCGCATACAAGAAGACAAGGAAGGAAGGGAGAATAAGGCGAGAGGTACACAGAAATTGAGGCGCAGATGTACATGTTTTCATCAGACTGTCTTTCCTGGATCGGCCTTCAGTGATACTGTTCGATTGAAAACCATCTGAATGAAACGAGAAATGGAGTTTAAAGAAAAAGGTTAAAATGGACAAGCTATCTACCTAAAGTGGAATGAAATACAGCTAAACATTTCGCCAGTTTGGCGAACCACAGACTTGACAGATTCGATCAACGAGCGACGCCTCACGCCGCCTGCTATACCACCGAATTTTCCTGGCCTAGACAAAAGCAGTCCAAAAGTCAGGGTTGAGGTGGAGTCACGAGGATCCTAGAGTTAGAAAATCGTTTGGTTGTAACACCCTTTCGGTACCTAGCTGCCGTGCCACCCGAAGGAAGCACGAGGGATGGGTTACTGTCAGATTGCCCGAGCCTAGACGGGGGAAGTTGAGAGGCATAGGTTGGATTCGAACCACGCACCTTCCGGTCAGTAAATTCACGCTCTTACCACTGAGCCATCTCGTTACCATTGTTGGGTTTTTATGGGACTGGCGCACCACTGCACGCGTCGGCTGTTAGGGCATAGAACCGCCTGTGTCGGACCCAAGTTGTCCAACCAAAACAAAATGCATCCTGGACTATCCATCCATGTCAACACCATTAAAAAGTGGATCGAAGCGTCAGGTGATACTGACACGGATACTGAGTCACATGGGGATAAGAAACGGTCATCTGACCCCGTTGGCGACAGTATCCGAGCCAAGTGGCTTTAGAGGCAAAGCCCAGGTGTGTAAGTAATCGTCGCTCTAGCAGCGGCTAAGACTAACGATTAAATCGCTTCATAAACCACGTTATTTTAACTTGGGAACAAGCTCGAAACCTCATCACATTCGCTTAATGTCCCATATCGAGTGAGCGTACAAAAATTTAAAAAAAATTGTCGTAGGACGCTATTAGCTGCAGTAGGTCCTGTCAAATAGGTATTGAACATCTGAAATATGACCTAAAATTAGCCCCAGAAATTCACCGGGAGTCTGGCGTCTCTGAATGACACCACATACTGCACCGTCATAAAAACAGGCTTGTCTGTAAAGCAAGACCGAACACTGAAGGATACAATTTCCTCGTTTAACATATGCTTGTCTTTGACAGAAAAAAAAAACTAGAACAGGAGAGCCGACTATCCTCGAACAAAAGCTTAGCGACGATAAAGGATGTATTGAAAACCGAGGTGGACTGGTCACGTGCATACGCTTCTCTAGCCTCATCCTACTGACAGCCCTGCAGGACAGCGCGAAGGGATCTGTTCACAAGATACTTGGATCGTCGAAGTGGAATTCCTCATGAATGATTAAGGTTATCCAGAGTGTCGAGATTGATTTGTCGAAGAACCAAGTCTATTCAGACTTGTGACCTTCAACACTGACACTGAGAGTGAAAAGACGCCCTCACCAAGCATTGTCCGTCAGTTTATCCATCTAACTGGGAACATATACAGGCGTGAACACGTTCACCAGTTCAGAGGTCACAACATAGATGCGTCCAGCGTGCGCTGGTGGAGTAGTGCTAACACGCTCACCACAGATTCGCGGGAATCAAGCCAGGTCTCGTCCTGGGTTGTATCGACCATAGTTTCACCTTGCGACAAGTGCTGACTGCAACTGCGCCACGCCTTCCAAAGACCAACAATGTTCGTATTTCTCGACCTCATATCTATTGACTCAGCTGATCATCAGAAACTGTGGCGGGGTCTGGTGATGAAGGATGTCCCTCACAAATTCTTGTCTCTTACGAAGGCTTTATATGTCTGGTCTCGTGGATGCGTACATATTACCACATCCTGTGGCGTCGGGCAAAGATATTCTCGGTCGCCCTTTCTCTTCCACTTTGTGGTCGACATGCTTGACTTACCTCTAACAGCTTTGGGATCAAAATACTCCCGGGGTGTTCGTCCATGGGAAATAGGGTACGCCGACGATAGTTCTGCTCTTGGATCAAACCCTATAGAAATGCAAACTATTTTAAACAACCTAAGTAATTCTGTTGCACAGTTCGGGATGTGCTTCGTACCTGCTAAGGTGCCGCCGCGAGATTGGGTGGAATCGAACCAATTCTCATGTTTGCAGCTGAAAAGATTGATCTATTGAGTAAGTTTTCTTATCTGGGCAGTTGTACAGGTCCCGGCGGACTGGCGAAAGACAAAGCACTTCCCGAATTAGGAAGGCCAGGGCAACGATCGTTAACTTCCGACACTTGTGGCTTGGCTGTCAAGAGTAGGATCCATAGTGTCGCGGTAAGATTTACTCTACTGTGTGGATCAGAGACGTGGCCGCTACGTGTGGAATACACCAGATCAGTAATGCTGAAGTACGTTAGGTGACTTTCGGGAAAGCTATAAATCAGCTGGTTACACTTCACAAGTTATGCAGGTTAGGCATTGTGCCTCGTGTGGAACGTTTGCATCGTAGAACCCTCTTCGCCCAGCCTTGTATCGGATGGAGACGACCCAAGGATGGTCAGTCTCTATGACTTGGCAACGAAGCAGGAAAGACTTTACCAGTCAACTCAGTCACGCTTGTAAATGCCGGCTTTTCGGATGGAGACCGTGGTAGAAGACAAACCAATGGTTAGTGGTCCCGATAGATACAGTTGTGTCACGCAGCCAACGGCGGCCTTGCATCAAAACCACAACCTTCACTGGGTAGCTCTCCGTTCGTGCCACACCGGAAAACACAACCAGCTGACGTATGACTGATTGGTTGACTGACTGACTGACTGGGCGCCGTGGGGCATGCAGGTTAGTGTCTGTTAAGATAGCCCAGCCCTAAACCTCAGTAATGAGCACTTTGGATGTCCTGAACGCGCGAATTTCTCTTCTAACCAGGAGAGTGAGTTTCTTCCCGTTTTGTTTGGGGTCTCAAAACATTGCCTGTATTACGGAGCTAAATGACACATCGTGTGTGACGTCTCCATAGACCTCGACTAACGTAATCATGCTTCGGAAGGGACCTTGAGTAAGCGCACTATTGTAAAGATTTCACACAAGGTCGTCATGAGATGAAATTAGAGAGGTACCAAATCGGGACATTCATGATGGGCGATGCATTAATAGTTACTCGCTTGCACGTCAGCTTAAAGGATGCTTGTTTACGTGCCAAAAGACGTGATGAAATCAAGAGGTTCAAGCAGTGGAAGAGGCTGGCGCAACTTGAAATGCAAGGTGCCGTCTGCAATATAAAAAAGGTCTCATAGAGTGCTGGTCCCGAAGAGAGTACGCGCCCAACTGTTGTTGGCATCAGATCGGGCAATTCGTCCCATTATAAGTGAAGCTAATCTGGCTGGAAAGCTGAGGAGCACCGTACGGCTGTTTCATCCTTACTATGAATCATCCGGATTACGCCTCTCACGAAACTTCAGTAGGAAGTCTCGAATTCGCTGCCTCCCGGATAGTAGACTGAAAACTTAACACAATACCAGGAGTTGGGATCAAATCTGAGAGAAGATTGGTGAACTTGTGCTGAGCGATAACACTGTTTCGTTAGTGCACAATCTAGTCGGAAGAGAAGGCCGGGAGTGATCCTTCATGACAACATGCCTTTGGCACCTTCAAAATGCTTCACTATTTGACCGGAGGCCAGCCGTTCCTAATAACCGAACATCACGTCATTTGAACGGATGTGTCACGTGCAGGACACGGACCAAACGAAGGCATGCCCTGATTGGCCAGAATACCAGCCAATCCGGAGCGAGCACCTTTGACTCGACGCTTCTCGCCCTCTCGCGAAGATTCTAGCACGACTTTGTGGAATAACCTGTGATTACCGTATAAATACAGTTGTAATAACTTTCCTGTCTCCATTAAGGGGCTGTCTAGAGCTACCATGCCTCTTGATATTCCATGGTGTGCGGGGCAGGAAGCCAAGGAACCGATACAGAGTTGCACTACCGTTCAGCATGACACAACACTATTCCCTTCGCTTTCATGTATACACTGGAGACCTCTGAACAGCCAGTTTGAGTCTGTTGATCTGTTTATGTTCCTTGGTAGCTATATGAGCTGCGACTGAACCGTGAGAGAGACCGTCAATACACGCGAGGCCATGTTTACACAAAAAGTGGGGCGTCAACCTTGATTATTGGTTGCGAAACTTGTTCCACCCACCCTCCCTCCATCCGATCCTTAACGCAACAGTTGGCTGCAGCGTGTCTGTGAAAGATGTGGAAGCGAGTAAGGGCTGTCGGAGCGACAAATAAATAAAGGCACGCGAGGCCATGTTTACCCAAAAAGTGAGGCGTCAAACTTGGTTATTGGTTGCGAAACTTGCGCCACCCTCCCTACCTCCATCCGATCCTTAACGCAACAGTTGGCTGCAGCGTGTCTGTGAAAGATGTGGAAGCGAGTAAGGGCTGTCGGAGCGACAAATAAAGCCTATCAGTTTAGGTATATGGTGCGCTTCCAAGCATAGTCTGTCGAAGGGAGCGCTATATTCCATTCCAAACCCTCGCCGGCGGAAATTTTGCGAGTGAATGGTCGTAACACGAAATGAGTGTCCATCATCAAGTAGGAAGCTGTGCCATTTTCATCCCATTCACGGCGCCCATGAGATTTTCCTTGCGTGTTACTCAAAAACCCACACCATGTGACAGACTATAGTGGTAAGCATGTTGTCGTTTTTGTTATCTGCTGGATTTGAGTTAAAATCACAACAGATGTCGTGTTAATCCAGCTGACTGAGTCCCGCTTCAACTCAACAATCAGGTGTTTACCTCGTTGCTATTCGAACGCATACACACCTCATTTGCAAATTAAGTTGGCGTTAATAGGAAACTCAACTGGGATTCAACTGAATCTCTAGGTAATGATATTCTTCAAACTACTGTGGTACACAAAAGTCACCCCATGTTTCGGCTGAATCGATATTCGAGATATCGAAGATCCTGAATATCTGGGCTGTCCAGGGTTTTCGCCAACCTTCAGAGTAAAGTCGTATGAAAAAAAATACACCAACCAAAATATGAGGCGATCTTTGTGCAGTTGAAAAACATTATAAACGACAGAGTCAGTTCGGTCTTCCGCGCTAAAAGGAACTAAGTTTGCAAAGGAGTCCTTATCACCGCATATGTACAACTTGGTGTTCAATTACCACGTGACATTGGAGAAAGTCCAGAGCCCAAGAGGGACGATGGTGCACCTTTCAACATGTCCACCCACTCTACGAGTAGCGCCATGTGAAAAAAAGTGTAGGCACTGTGTACGATCGTTTTGTTTTTGCGGGGATGAGGATTTGTTCACAAAGTCCCCTTCGTTCTTTACACTTTTACCCGGTGAATTGCTTCCAAGAGCAATACAGTAGTTAAGTTCCAATAATTACTGGTGTATTGCTTTCGAAGCTAGTGGCATCCGGCAAACAAACCGCCCCCTCCCAACAAGGATCATTCCTTCAAGTGAAACCATTTGGACTGTTCCTCTAGGTAGTCGTCGTTCGGGAATTTCGAAGCACATCTCGGTGGGTAGAAAACCTGGGCGATCCATTATGACAGGGTCTTTCAAAGAAAGACCCGTGCAAGGATCGGAACTTCGACAGGAAAAAAAGATTCCACCACCAGGCAAGAGAGGGACCAATCTGGATGGCCATGTCTGAAGAGGGCAACGAGCTTGCGCTGAGCTGCGTACGTGTGAACTTTGTATGTGTGTGTGTGTGTACTAGTAAGAGCGAGTGGACCCAAACAGCGATTTCGAGAGAGGAAGGGATATGAGGAGCACGTTTTATAGCTAGTAGGAACCTACCCGCTCCGTACTGGTGTCCGGATCCACAGCGAAGAACCCGATCCGTTCGAACTGATACGTGCTGAATACGGACGCGCCCTTCAAATACCGCTCCACCATGGCATTGGGCATGACAACGAGCGAGTTCTGCGTGGATCAGAAGATAGTATAAATTGGAATCGTCAACAGGAACAACAGAAAATAGGTGGACAAAGTTGCACTGGATAAGGAATTCCTACTTCTTCGAAAAAAATCTGCCTGTCGTGATACACTGGGAAGACAGATTCCCATGGTAAGTACATCTAGGTAAAATCTCACATCCGCTTTGCTTAACACAGCCGTGATATTGTTAAGAGAAGCGGATCCGTTAAGAACCCGTGTCTAGTTGCAAATGACAAGTCTTCTTCATGAACCCACTTTTCGGTGAACTTTGGTTGAACGAAAGACTGGTAAGTCAGAGGCCTGGAGTAGCTAACTACAAAGGTTTCTTGTAGATTCCCTGAATGACAACGTAAGGGAATTTGTTCCCATATGGCATCGAGTCTGGAAGGTAAAGACATAAGTCCAGTGCAGCACATATTCGATGCGGTGATCTGTGGAAGATCAGAATGAGTATATCTGGCCATTTTTGTGCCAACCGCCTAGCGGGTACACGCAGTCCGAAATGAAGACCGCGTTAACAGCTGAAGAATGGACTGTGAACTCAACAGTAACTTGACGATAGGGGTATCAGATAAGGCACAATACTAGTTTCGAACCATAGATGAGTTTTATAGATAACTGATATCAGTCATAAACCAAATAAGGCACACGAAATGCCCCTAAAGCCACGTGCTTTTGTTCAACATCGCTGCATATTAAAATCACGGTTAACTGAGCTACCCAAATGAGGAAAAACGTCTCGTTTCTTGCTCCCATGCTATGATTCCTACAGATAATTGTAGATCCAAGCTTAGCTTTGAAGCAACAGAGTCACATTCTAGCGCACACTAGGTACTGATGATGAGAAGCGCCATCGGGATTAGAAAAAAATTTCCGAAAATAGTCGAATCTCAAACCTCACACCGGGGCATTCGTCGGGTTAAACTTTTGCCTTAGTTCCCCACATCCAGTGGTGCCATGCAAACCTGATGCGCTCTGTCACCACTCCTATCCGACTTCTTAATCGACGAATTGCTTTACTCTTCTTTACCTGACTGTAGCAACCCGGTGATCGAACCACAGTCTGGACGTTCGTTCGTACGCACTGAGTACACTGAAGAAATCGCTGTTCTGGGTTGGATCAAAGCAATCTTCGTCTTCCTGGGCAGTTGCGTAAGTCCAAGTGGAGTGGCGGGAAACAAAACCTCTTTCCGAATCGAGAAGGTCAGGGCGGTGCTCTTCAACCTTCAACTTTTGTTGTGTCGATATGAGAGCATTTGGTGTGCACTTCTGTAGTGCGACGCGACCACAATGTGCAAAAGATCCTCGAAGACCCCCCTGTACTTGGTCATCGGTTTCTCCGAAGCGCAGGGCAGATCTGGTGGGAGCGTAGGATCAGTAATGCTGAGGTGCGCCGGATGGCTTTCAAAACTGAGACTGTCCCCTTCTGGTCAGGCCATCTACTTCGTATGCCAGAGGACATTTGCCTTGCAGAACCTTTTCCACCTAGTCACGTGGTGAACAGTATGACCCAATGGTAGACAATTTGTGACCTCTCATTGGTGAACTCAGTCGTATTGGTAACTACCGACCACTCGGGTGGGGAGTCCGGAGAGAAACAAACGAATGGTTAACGATCCTGTCATGATGACAGCAGCGACCATGGATCAAAGCTACTGCCACAATGTGTAAATGTCGACTGGTTTCATCAGATAAACGCCAATGAACCGATTCGGCCAACACCTCCCTTACTCTCCTCATTCCCGGTGAAGGGAAGTGTGATAGCTTGAGCTTGGTACACAGCCCGTAACTGAACCGAGTGTGTCGATACATCACCAGGTAACCATGGCTTGATAAGGTTGTCGGGGTCAAACACATAGGCATCTTGGTTCCCAACTAACACAAACGAGTTCCTTGAGAAAGCAAATGTCGATATTTCATTACTCAATGAGTTTAACTGAGTCTGAGTCCATGTATGGGAACTGTAGGCTTGGAGAAGGGCACCGTCCAAGAAAAACCCCTTCAAACTAGACCACTTGAGTCGACGCTGCTGGAAGTGGCGTCCCCCTTCGTCCTCTCTCGAACAACGTACTATTCACAACAGCCCTCAAATATTCTGGAAGATCTCGCCCGGGAATTGTGCAAAAACCGCTCTCAACTGCTTCCAATTCTCGTTTTCTCTCGGTACTTTCGGACGTCTACGGCAATGAACCAACCGATTTATTCTAGTCATAACAGTATGGTGAACATCACTCGCACACTGGAGGTGACACTTAAACCACCGGTTATTGATCTTGCAAGCATCAGACATAATGTGATATGTGTGTGTTGTGGCTCTAGTGCTGAACACCACAGAGCAGCACTTTTCAGTCCCGAGCCGGGTTTGACAATATAACCATTGCTAATCGACCCGGAACATGGCATTAGGCACATAAACATCGGTTTGATTGGCTTTGTCTGTGTTGGAAGAGCTGAAATAGGTGAGCAACAGTCGGGGTTGCCAATGGCGTGGAATAATAGGCAGGTCATTCGATGGTTGAAAAACTTGATGACGCTATCCGGAAGTGAAAACATACGGGTAAGATGCAAGTTTGCTGAAAACTCTTCGATAGCCCACGACCGTTTCGCCCTTCTTGGGGCTCCCGAGTTTCCGCGACCTTATGTTCTACTTGAACCCAAATTGGACAGATTTTGACAAATACACTCATTTGTATATCATTTTGGTTTCGATGGGAGACTCAAACGGAACCCAGCTGAATCTCTCGTTTATGGTGTTTTTACGGTTGACCTAATGAGCCCCAAGAAGGGCGAAACCGATCGTGGGTTGTTGAAGAGCTTTCAGCAACCTCAAGAGTAGCGTAGTACGTCCATACATGTATCGCGATGTCTCGAAACATGGGGCGGTCTGGCGCAGTACATTCCATTGCTTAAAACATCATAAACGAGAGACTCTGCTTGGTTCCAGGTGATTCTACGGTGTATCAATGAGGACGCTGCAAGATATGACTGTTGATCGATGTCAATGGCGTTTCCATTGTTAGTGTCTGGAGTGTGGGCACCTCCGAATGAATGTTAGGCTAGCGAAAATTCCCACCCTGATCCACTTTTATTCTTTTCTTCATTATAGGGCTTCTAAATAAACTATGGTTGTACGGCAACGGAGCATCAGTGTGGAACACTGGCTGTACGCTGTCGGTAATGATGATGATGACGTCAAAGTCGATAGCTCGGATGCATGACAACAGTCGGGTTAGCGAGACTGACGACCAATTTACCAGCTCGCGCGTGCAATGCGCAGCTACCTACCCCCTCCCCCCCAATCATCGGTGAACGAAACTGTGGCAGCTACAACCACTGTACGACGAGTACGCGGTTCTTACAGCTGACAATGATGATGATGACGACCTCCATTCACCGTAACAGTAATCGTGGAATCTTATGGAGTTCGACATAAATAAATTCAAGGTACAACCGAGCGGTTCTTAAGCAATTCAGCTGTCAATGTCATCCGTGTACGTATGTATCAGTCTGAAGAGCAATTGCACTAGTCCAGCGAAGAGGTTGCTGAAAAATTTAAGACAAGCTAGGAAAAGCCATCTGGAGCGCGCATAGAGATAAGCTTCAGTAATACTGTCGTCTTAGAAAAACGTTCAGCTGTAGCACCCTTCCGATGCCTAACTGCCATTCCACCCGAAAGAAGCACGAGGGTTCTGGTTGCCCAAGCCTAGACAGGGGAAGTCGAGAGGCAGAGGTCGGGCTAGAACCACGGACCTTCCGGTCAGTAAATTCGCGCTCTAACCACTTGGGCCATCACGTCTTACAAAACCCAACGACCAAGGGCGCAACTGCATCTGACTACTGAATACAATTCAGTCATTCTAAGTAGGAATAATCCGTGAGTATTGCGATACTGTACGCGAGACACGGCTTGCACTGAAGACAACAGCTGATGCCAACATCGTGCTGTGACGTGAACAGCTTCTAGCCTTTCTACATGCTTCGCAACTACCATCAGAGGCGACTCCGTACGAGACTCATAAGTTAAAGCGCTTGACAAAGAAACAAAGTGTGAAAATAGGATACCTCCAAAACAGGGGATACCCACCGGATTGATGACTGACAGGAAACCATCCTTGGCGTTGTCGGGATCCTTGACAGTGAAGCTGGGGAGAAACGAGAACAAAAACACCATTACTAAAAAAACGACCAAGCTATTCTGATAAGTCAGTCACGATATGAATAGCAAGTCACTTACAGGCGATCGTACAGTCGAACTTCACAGTGCAGAGGATCCGAGACCCATTGAATAAATGCCTTTGGTTTGGGGCCGTTTTCAACGGTCTTGGCTGTTGTGATCAGTTCGACCACCTTGCCAGCCTGATCCTGCAAAGGACGGAAACGAACCGCGATGATAACCATAGCCACTATACTCCTAATTTATTGCGAACGTCTGCAAATCAAAGAGCATCACCCTGGCGTTTTAGTTCATCTTCATCGCGAGAATAAAGGTACGATTGTACATGAAAGGGCTAGTCGAAAAGCAGCTGTCATCGCTTTCGAAGCCTGATCTTGATCAAATCAAGTGAAAATTTTCTGATGGATCTATAGGTTTCGTCGATCATGCTACCAATTTGCCGTGGCAACTCAAGGCTAGGTTCCGAGGGCTTCAACAGTGCGCGGACAGGTTCTCGAAAGTGCGAATCCACTTGTTTCGGGGCAAGCGACGGTCTCATTAAGTAAATGAACGGGTTAACAAGGTGAGAACGCGGTGAACCACCTCCACCAGAAACGGAAACTTCTCGGAAAAAGGGCACTCCCTATAGCGTCCACAACGTGCGTGTTTTCCGTCAGCCGCAAGCTATGGCCTAGTCGGCCCGGCGATCCAAAAGACACCTCGTTTTCCCAAGATTCTCTTTCTAGGGAAGGCTGAGGATATGGTAATCGGAAAACTACCATCAGTCGCAAACACTATTGAGGGATTATAGCTTTAAAAAGGGGTTTGCCCGCTTACTTTCTTCACTTCTTGCACTTGGAGCACGAGTCCAGCATGCCGTAATCCGACCGGTTGATCTGGCGTTAGACGACGGTAGCCTTTGTCAGGAAACTCTTGGAAGTCTGAAGAATCCAGATAGATCTCTGAACTGATGCAGGCCTTGTGGACTTTGCTGTCTGATAGGGCGGGGAAGTCTGGAACGTCAACCTAAACGGTTTAGTGGGAAGAGTAAGGAAAAGGGGGTGGCCGTTAATCATCAAAACAAACCGTAGTAATACGAAGGCAACACTGTAGCCCAGTAGAGCAAACTCAGACAAAACAACACCCTAGGGGTATGGAGATAGACTTTAAAAAGACCTAATAGACTAACTCTTGGGTGTTTATTGATGAAACAGCAAGGATGTACTCACAAGCCTCATCACCACTCTATTGCAACGAAACCGATAACTATGGGAACGTTTGTGGTTGGCCGTTTATACAGAGCGCGATACATGTTTGCTCACCGAGCTCAATCGGTCCATACCGGGTGATAAAACTATGGAACCACGCAAGATTTTCACCAACAGCTCAATGACGACTGGTGACTCTATTGCACCGAAACCGATAACTATGGGAACGTTTGTGGTTGGCCGTTTATACAGAGCGCGATACATGTTTGCTCACCGAGCTCAATCGGTCCACACCGGGTGATAAAACTATGGAACCACGCAAGATTTTCACCAACAGCTCAATGACAACTGGTGCAA